CAGCCGACACGGCAGGGCGGGCCGCGATTGGTAAAGGAAAGCTGCTGTGACGCCCACCATGTGACAGGCCCCACCCTCCTCCGCCATTTTGAATTGTGGCGAGAAATTCGCGTCCTGAGAATTGTGGGAACCTTTGCTTTCCCATTTTGAAACCTAAACGACGTCACTGTGTGACTGCGTGAAGCCCTTTTCAGACGGCAGGAAATGTGTTATTCATCCACGGTGGCGTCAGTTCACAGTCTGTCCACACCAGTTCATACAACTTTCTACGTTTTATTCAAAACATGTATTTATTGAGCGCCAACTTTATGTTAAGCGCTGTTGTAGAAGATAAGGAAATTAAAATAGATCAAAATCCCAGTTCTTACAGATCTTTAAATCTACGGGGACCGGGGTACTGTTAAGAAACAAGAATAAATATATCAGGTTAGTTGGGGATAAATGAATGCTAGGGAGGAAAATAAAGCTGGGGGGAGGGGAAGTGACCTTTAGGGAGAAAACCGGACTGACCAAGATTAAGAGTGGTAAGGGACGGTCTCTTTGAGGTGCTAACTCGCTGAAGTACATGAAAGAGGGCGGTGCTTGTAAAAGGGTGGGAAAATCTGATAACATTGGAATTTGTAAAAGAGTAGTTAAGGAAGGCTTTTTTTGGAAGGTAATACCTGAAAGAATCAAGGGAATGCGTCACACAGCTTCAATTCCCTTGGTCACAGTTTTAGAAAAACAACCTTACCAGAGTTTTTAAGGCGTTCCCGTTTCTCCTATTTTTCTGGTTTTTGAAACACACCAGCCATACTAGCTTTCTTAATACTTTTCCAACAAACGTAACTTGTTCTACTTGAACTACTTTACCTACACTGAAGTATTCCCTTTAATATCTTTGCTCTCATCATTCAGGCCTCATAATTGTCACCTCTCCTGGAAGCCTTCCCTGACCACCCCATGTAAAAGAAGGACTTCTGAGGCAGCAGGTGGCTTGGAGGTAAAGGCACTGGATCCCACAGTGCAGACTCCATGGTTCCAGTCCCGGACCTGGTGGCTTGAAAGTCACACCTGGAGACCAGCAGATGGCACAATGGTAACATAGCTGGACACCAACAGATGGCACAATAGTTACATGGTTGGACTCCCATGTAGTCTGCTGTGGTTCTACAGGACTGGGTGACTTAAAACTCATGCTGGGCACATGTGAGTGCCTGCTCAAGATCCCAAAAGGAGAATGGAAAAGGGATCGTGGTGTGACCATCCCCACAGAGGGTGATTTCTCACTCTGTGTCTCTTTGGTGAGCACACGGGTGTATGCACCCTATAGCAAAAATCTCTCTTTAAAAAAAAAAATCATGCCAGGCACCTGTGTTTGCCCAAGATCCACATGCACAAAATCTCTAGGGGAGACTGGAGGAGAAGGGATTGTAGTATGGCCATCCACCCTGGGAGATTTCTGACTTTCTCTATTTCTCTCTGGTGAGCACACAAGCCCTATATAGCAAAAGCTAAAATAATAGTAATAATAATGACTTCCCACATTCCCGTCCTTATTTTTCCTTAAAGCACTTAATCTAAAAGTATGTTGTTTACCCCATTCTATAAGAACAGTACTAAACCCCCCTGCTTTGTTCATCTTCAAATATATTTTGAGAGAGTTTTCCTTCTCAGCACAATTATAGATTGTATCAGCCTGAAATGTAAGTAAAGTGTTTCCTTCCAAGTAGTTAAAACAGTATTCTTCATACTTAGCTGCACAACTTCCCAGTAGTCTTGATAATGTCATTTTTGACAATGTGATATATGGTTTATGTACTGTGCTGCTACTTGGTTTTGTCTTACTTTACATAATAATGTACTAGAACATTTACCTAAAACATAGAAAATGAAATTTTCAGTGACCTGCAGCAGTCATTAAGCCTAATGTTTCAGGTTGTAACATTAGCCACTCTTTGACAGATTCTTGGGCGCATATAATTTAATATAAAATTTTAAAGAAGTGAAAAAAAAATGCAAATATGCATGAATATGTTTATAGCCTGGGGGATGGAGAAAGTTTTTCTACACAGGACACAAAATCCATAAAGGGAACGTCTGATAACTATAACATATATAAAGGCAAATCTGCTGAATGAAAAATTGAAAGATTATGAAAGCGACAAGACAAATGATAAACTGGGGCCCGCAGGTGGTGTAGTGGTTACATCTCTGGATTCCTACATGGTCAGTTGTGGTATGAGTCTTAAACCTGGGAGCTTGAAAATCATGCCGGTGCATGTGCATGCCTGCCCAAAATCCTGAGAAGAGAATGGAGGAGAAGGGAATGCAGCATGGCCATTCCTCCAGGTGAGGGTGTTCATTTCTTGTTTTCTGTCTCTGCTTCTCTCTGTCACTCCACTGAGCACACATGCCCTATACTAAAATCTCTCCAAGAAAATAGAAAGAAAAGAAAATCATGCCAGGCATGTACATGTGTGTGTGCCCAAGATTCCAGGAGACTGGAGGAGAGGGGATTGCCGCATGGCAATTCCCCCTGGGAGATGAGTCCTCGTTTTCCCTTTCACTGTCTCTTTCTCTCCTATGGCAAAAATCTGTAAAACAAAATAACAGGCAAATGACAAACTGAAAAAAAAATAATTTCACCATGACAAATGACAACTAAGGGGTAATATTATTAATTTATAATAAAAGAAAAAAGACAAACTGAAACAGTTCTACATATATCATAAAATTTAATAAACAGCTATATCAATAGGTAAATCATTAGTCTATAAAGACCTATTGTATATTGTTTTTCTAAAGAATTATTTTATTTAACTTTATTTTATTTATTTATTTAAATTTTACCAGAGAAGGACAGAGGGAGAGAAAGAGAGAGAGACAGGGAAAGGGAAAAAGCAAGCCACCAGGCCTGGGACTTGAACTGCAGTTGGTTATGTGGGAGTCCAGTGCCCTTAACCTCCATACCACCTGCCAGCTCCCATTTTTTAAAAGAAGTATTTAATTTTATTTATTATTACTATTATTTAATTTTTTTTCCTATAGGGCGGGTGTACTCACCAGAGAGAACCAGCGAAAGAGAGAGAGAGAGAAAGAGAGAAATGTGAAAGCAAGCCACTAGATCTTGGACTCAGACCACAGTAGGCCATGTAGGAGTCTAGCCAAGCCACCTGCTGGCCCCTATACATTGATTTATAAAAAGATATATGCCCTAATTTTAAAATGTGCAAAGGACATGAATGGGCAACTCAAAAAAATGAGACAATACTTAGCTAATAAGCATATGAAAGTATGTCTAACCTCAGCAGTAGTCAAACATGAAAATAGGGGACCAGTAGATGGCATAATTGTTATGTCATTGGCCTCCCACACAGTCATCTGCAGTTCAAGTTCCAGACCACAGTTTGAGTTCCAGGCTTAAAAACTCATGCCACGTGTGTGTGCATGTGTGCACAAAATCCCGAGAGGAAAATGGAGGAGAAAGGATTGTGGTGTCACCATCCCCCCAGAGGGGGTGATTTCTTGTTTTCTGTCTCTCCCTGTCTCTCCAGTGAGTGCACATACCCTATAGCAAAAATCGCTCCAAAGAATGAGAATAAAGAGTGATTTCTCTGTTTTACCTATCAGAATGTGAAAGATTAAAAAATTGTTAACACTGGGGCTGGAAGGTGGTGCAGTGATTAATGTGCTGGACTCCCACATGGCCAGCTGCAGTTCAAGTCCTGGACCTGGCGTTTTGCTTTCTCACTTTCCTTTTCTCTGTGTGTGTGTCTCTCTCTGATCAAATAAAATAATAATAATAATAAAATAAAAAATTCTTTAAAAATTGATAACATTAAGTGTTGATGATGATACTATGAAATGGGCACATTTATATACTGATGAACCGACATGACTTTTTGGGAGGTCATCTGATGACCTAATGGTTAAGGCAGCTAGATCCCACATGCCCTACTGGGGCATGCTGAGTGGCTTGAAAAACATGCTGGGTGTGTGTGCCTGTGTGCTCAAAATCCTGAGAGGAGGAGGGAACCAGAAGTTAGTGTAATGGCTAGG